CGAGAACAGATGTATTTCGACCTTCTGGAAGATGATTTCAGCAATCAACCCGGAGAGCGGAACCCATTGGGGTGCTCTTGGTTTGCGCTCCTACACTGTCTTAAGAGCTTTATGGTTTCCTGAGTAGCATGCTGGTCATCATTGTTATCGTAACCCTAACGCAGCATGACACTGTGTGCTGCCAAGCTATGGCCTGCAGAATGGATAGAGAGTGGTGTTACACCAAATGACCGGAATAACCTGTCTGAAAGCCCATGTGTGAGTGTGCATCGGAGTAAGGCGAGTATCCGAAACGAGCATCCAATTTGTGTATTTTTGCAACACTGTAAAATCACGCCATAGCTGTTTCTATGGGTTTTTCCCATACTTCAATGGCGATGATCTCATTGTTAGTTAGTCGAGAAAGAGCTCTGCTCAGTTTCACGAGCAGCGACCTTACGTTGACTTCAAAGCTGTCTCATGCCAAGTTATTGCCCTGACCAAATTCTAACTTAGTTACTGCTGTTCTGTTTTGTTTTTACTTCCCATAAGTTGACTGTCCACTATGCCGATTCTAGGGTACTCATTTATTTTGATTCTGCCGCCCTAGTTCAATCGTTTTATTGCATCCACGCTGATTTTACAAGACTCTTGATCGTTCAGGATCACCAGAGCTTTGCTTCGACAGTCGGTTTTGTCGAGACCAATAGTTCACCGGTGTTTGTTAGTAGGTAGAACGACAACTTTTTTGGTGTTTAACTCCCTAAGCGCCTTCTGTCAATACTTAAGTAGCATACAGGTTTTCAGTAGGACACGCTACAGTACCTTCGCTTGAACCTCTGTAAAAAGTCTTCACTAGCGTTGATCGGTATTTGGGACGATCTAGAGTACCCTATAATACCGATGCGTTTGCATTCCTTTTCACGCACTTTTGTCATTCAGAGGATGTCGAGGTGTTCTCCGGGATGTTGGTAGTCACTTTATTCAAGTGAGTAAAAAACTCTGGAGTATGGAGAGCAACACGCGTATTTCTCGATTTCGAGATATTAGAACTGCATCTGTATACTTTTTTCACTTTCCAACAATGTTGAAGCATAGTTGGATTGTCAATTCGGTGTTGATAGCCAGCGTAAAAGATAGGCCCCTTGAAAAAACGGTTAACGAGGAATTGCGACGAAAATTAAGCCGTGCGTAGGTGAACCAGCTAATGCGATTCGGTGCTAGGAGTGCTAATATAATACTTTTGGAACTCACTGTGGTTACGCCTACCTAGATGATCTCACCCCAAAACTCGGGACTACGAAATAAGATAGGATTATAATGCGCCTACTGCGAGGTAGCGCGGGGCAATTAATCGGCAAAGATACCTAAGCGCAGAGGAATAACCCGTAGGTGTAAGGAAGGTCTTAGTGTTAGCAGGGAAGATAAGCATGCATTAGGAGCTACTTCGGGATGATCTCTGTTGTATAAAAAGAACATTATCATTCTTCAAACAGGGCTTGTTGGAAGATCAGTGCACCACGCAGCGACGACGATTTGCAGTACTGCTTGAATGGGTTTACCTTACCGAAGACCGTGCGGTCTATCATCTTTCCATATCTAATTTAACGTCTGTACACCTTGTCAGTTGGCCACTGCCGCAATGCCAACGGAGACGGGAATTTGGAGAGACGGAGTAACAAGCGGTTTCCATTTTGGGTGGACGGATTGCAAGACCAGGTTCTCGGCGGAGACACTGACAGACATCCCAGGGATGAGGTTCCGGAATAATGTAATTTGTGTGGGAATTGATGATAATCTACGAACGCACCGATTGGCATACACTCGTAAATTTCTTATGTCAGAAGTTCAAGTCCCAAAACTATGAAATGGTAACCAGCATCTGAGACGGGAGTTCACAAGGCTTCCGCTTCACCCTTTTCCCGACCATATTGTGATTTTGTGGGAATAGGGGGTCAGGACGACTGTGAATGGGATAGGATACAGCGACTGACCCGGAGCTGAATTCTACTCTACAGATGCCACAACATAGCCGTTTTTCGATCAATAGTAAACAATGCTTTAAAAAGTGAATTGCGTTGGGG